GAGAGAGAGAGAGATGTAACTCCCATTAAGTAATTAAAATTGACAACTGAGATGTAGTCGGTAACGTAATGTAACTAAACTTAATTCGCTACTTACCAGCATCTTAAAATTTAATTATTCTTTCGTAAATTATGAAATTTCTTGATTATCTAATCTGGTAAAAGATGAATAGTAATGTAAAATTTTCCAATAGATCTGCAATGGACGCAGCTTTTAAAACACAGTGAAAAGAAGAGAAACATAAGGTTAACATATGGAATAAAAGAATTTATCACTCACATTTGGTACTCTTTCTTCAATAATAATAAACAAAAAGTAATCTTATAGATGTTATTTCATTTATTGATTTAAAAAGGAAAAAAAAATTCAAATATTCCTTTTTGAAATTCGAAAGGAAAAAATTCAAATATTTTGAAAAATTCCGTCTCCCAAAAACTCTTTTTTTTCGTTTTTTTTTTTGCTGTAAAATTGAGAATGAACGGAAAAAAAGGAAAATGAGGAAGTGGAAAATAACATAACTTTGACATGCAAAAGTAAACAAATAATCTTTTAACAAAAATAAACAAACTTTCAGATTTCAGATTGCTTTTCGCAGACACGAATGACAGACACAATGAATTCTGTAGTAGGGAAATGAAAGTTTGCAAAATTTCGCTCATTTCAGTTAGAAAAATTGAATTTATGTTCAAAAATTAAACAAACACATAGGTATAAATCAAAATTCAAAATTCTGCAAAGAAAACGAATAAAAGGAATGGTACCATCTGTCGAATGAGGAAAATAAAGATTGATGGGTTCAGTCAATAAGTCCAATTTTTGTTTTGAATTTCATAATTTATCTGTATAATTTTTAATTTTGATGACCTAATAGAATTTATTTGCTATCTTTTTATTTTCTCACATCAATTATTATTGGAAACGGAAATTATCTGCACAAACAAACACTGACACAAAAAATTGTCCAGCAAACAATTTAATTCTCAATACTCATCGATCAATGCCAGAAGTAATAAATCAAAATTTCGTTAGTTATGAGAATTCATCAACTGGACAAGAACTAATGATCCGTTCATTGAATTATTCTTTAATCCGGTTGCAGATATCGCGAGATTAGTGGGAAAACAGGTGGGAAGGGCTCTGTAAGTAGCATATATTTTTTAATACTAGCAATGATGAATTCATTAAAAAATGGAAAGAAGAGTGGGAAAGAACTGGTTCATGATCCAAAATTACTCCTTCAAGTTGTACTTGCACTTTCTTCCACTAAAATTATCAAACAAAATGATAAGAATGAGTAAGACTAAAAGGCGATCAGAACTTTCCATTTCATACTTCTTTAGGTTATGCCTAATTTTTATTTGCAAATATCATTTTTCCGTAGCAATAACAATAATTCGGAATAGTCTACCGATTTCCACTATCATCAGTATTAATGAAATCGGTTCAAAAACCAGAAAATTGAGTTGAAATTGAGGGATAAGATGCTGTAGTTTCAACTTGATGGTAAAGTCATTTCAATGGATTAAAAATAAACAAAAGAAAAAATTTCAAAATATTATGCAAAGCTTCCAGCAATGAAGTAAATTTCGAATTTCAGTAATTTGTCATAAATTTAATTAACATTTCGACTACTGCATATACAAGTAATGATGAAACAAAAAATAATCCGACTTAAGGTTAACCAATTTTCTTCCTTTCTTTATGCATTTCGAAAAAAGAATTCAACAACCAGTTTTCTTTTTTAATTTATTTTTCTGGAAAAATCTTTTAATTGAAAGTCTTCTTGCTCAAAAATTCAACGAAAACACAAAAATTGAATTTCTGTGGAAATCTTGAATTCGAGAACTTCGGCTTTGTTTTTAGCTATATTAAAAATTTGTTTATAAATATCTCAGGCTTAATTTCACTTTAAAAACAAGCTTTAAAGGAGAAATAACTAATTGCAGATTTGGAAGGAACTTGAGAACGAGCATTAGAACGAGTCTGAAAGAGAAACTGATAAATGCGAAAAAATTCCACTGATTCATCAAGCCATCAAAAACCATGATTGCACCTGCCGAAACTTGAGAAGTAAGAATCTCCAGGTGGTACTCAGGTAGGAAGGTCAACATAATTTACTCTGTTTGCTTAACTTAAGTGTAATTAGAAGCTCTTAGAAAAGCACTACCTTTCTACACTAATCGCTGATGAAAAGCTAGTAAACACGAGGTAGTCTCCCTTATAGAGTAGACCGATGAACAAATCCACAAATAAACAAAAAGATAGGGTAAACAAATTTGTAACTTTTTTTTTTTTACCTTAAATGACACTACTTACAGTGGACGATTCTTATTCAAGATAACCGGAAGGGTGAATGAAACGAAAAATAAGTTGCTATGGATAAATCAAATCTCTTAATCCCGGTAAGTAGTAAAATTTCTAGAAGTTATTAAGCATGAACAATTTCTTAAAACGAAAAATTCGTTTTAACTCATTTCAAAAAGTTGATAGTAAAATAAAATTATCAATACCACTAACTTTTGAAATGACATTTCTCCGGAAAACTGTTAATTGCAAATCTTACTAAGAGAAAATTTGCAAAACTCACATTGGATTTGTACTGTTCCAATAGATATCCGGAAGTCGCCGAGCATCAGCAGTACGATGATCACTGAACATATCCAGTACCAAAGTAATAAGGAGATTTATTAGCATGACGACAAGTCGTCATTGAAAGCATCCGAAAAAGGTCACCCCAACGACTGCTAAATAACAGTGATGCTTATCCTTTTCACCTTTGCCAAATCATCAAAAATTTTTAGAAATCTGAAATTGATCTTTGACCTATTTAGTGAAAAAATGCTGAAAACAAAAACAATATAATTGATATTATTTCTTTTGATAGCTAATTTGGTGCAAGTTGTTTACAAGCACCTTCCAAAATGCAACGTATTACGAAGGAACACACGCGCTTGTCATTACCATTTTTGCAAACATTCCATAGAAATAGAAACTAGAAATTCAATTCAGAAATTTTCATTAAAATTTTGAATATATTTCAATCTTTCTGTCAGAATTATGCAAATTTCAAAGCTAATTAATTACGAAACGTATCACTGCTTCACACATCCGCCGATTGCTTAATTTGAATAAAAGTAATTGCAATGCAATCAATCATGAAAGTGAAAACATAAAACAAATGACTTGTAGTGGAATGGCAAAATCGCTTATTAATAACTGACGACAACGGATTACGGATTATATTCATTCCGGAGAAGACTTATCCATTGTTATTATATAGAAATTGAATGGTTGACCCCAGCAATTGCAAACATTCAGATTTCTAGTAAATCCAACAGAAATTCCGAAACTTGATCAATTAGAAATTTATAATGCAAGTATGTGTGTTAGAAAATTGCACTTTAAATCGAAATTATATTCCAAATACATTTACAAAGCAGTACACTTTTCGAGATTAGGATTCAATCTCGACAAGAATTTTATTAAACTAAAAAATAAATCTCTGCAATGGTTGGAAAGGTTGAAAAAGTTAAATGTCATTTGTTTAATTTGAATTAGGTTTTTAACCACATAAATCACACTATTTGACCTCTTTGAGAGAATGGAAAAGAGTAGTGAGGAAATCTTTTTACCATTTATCATTTTATAATCGGAAAATACTTCCTCGTTTACCTTCCTAAAATGATCTTTAATGAAATCACGTATTCCAAATAAAAATTCGATGTCTGAAACGAATAAACTGAAAAATACTTTCTAAATCACTTTTTCAGAAATTTTGCCTAATTCAAATAAATATTGTGCAGATATAAGACATGAAATCCCAACAACAAAAAATCGTGCATGAACCAAAATCTCGACAATGACATCTTTCTATACTTTCTCATTCCTTTTTTGCCTAATCACTTATCCATCAAAATTTATTATCATTCTATGTAAAGTAGCAAGAAAAACGCTTTTTTGCAAATCATAAAATATCCGCTTAAAAGACCAATTTATAGTTGTCAACTTTTTTCAACGAACAGTCATTGGATGAGAGATCACTTTCAATCCTTCCACTTTATAGGTCTTCCATCATCCTTTCCTGCTATCGGTTTTTTTAAAATTTCATTATCTTTTTCCATCCTAATTTATTCACTCTTTCTCATTTCCGGTATCCCATAAAATATGGAAAATAGCGTTTGTATTGATTAAAATAATTACTTCTTTTTTGATAATCGAAATTCAACTTTTAACTCTTTTTAAAATTTAGAAATTATAATGATTATGAAATATTGCTTGATATAAGTAACCCTCATTTCCTGCTCCAAAATTCAGAAGTTTAGTCGCTCAAATATTTCAAATATCAGTATTCCTAAAAGTGTAGCAATAGCAAAACCACAATTTCAATAATTAAAAAACGATATTGGCAATCAGTCGATCAGTAGGTAGCCGTAGACGGAAACGGCGGAGAACAGCCGCAGTGTCAACGGTATGAAAGTAATGGACGGACGGACAGACATAGACATACTGCCTTCTAACAATTAAGGCGTGGCTTTTCAAATTCATTTTCTGCGCTGTGGACACGCCCAAAGATTATTTCATATTACTATTATTATAATCATAATAATCATTATAATAATTATAATAATGATAGCAAAAAGAAAAAAGAACAACAATAGAGAAGGGTACTAATAATATAATGGTGATTAATAATAATGATGATAATTATAACAGTATCAGTAATGATTATTAATAACAATGATTAATATGATAATAATAATAATAATATTATAATAATAATAATAATAATAATAATAATAATAATAATAATAATAATAATAATAATAATAATAATAATAATAATAATAAT